GTAAAAATTTGTCTTGTCCGGTTTTTTTAATCTCTAACGAGTTTAAACGTCTTTGAATTTATTGTAGCTCATTAATTTTTGATCTTTATTTTTTCTAATTTATTATAATCACGAGCAAGTCAGATTTTAAAGAAAAATGATTCTGGAAGATCTTCCGCAAGAAATTATTAACCAGGCAGAGGCGACTACAACACAAATACTGCCAGAAAAGTCTCGTGGCGTATATGATAGGGAATTCAAAGCGTTTGAAGGGTGGATGAAAGTAAAACATGTCAAAAAATGCAGGAGTGAACATGACAACGTTCAAAAGACACGGAGGATGGCGATCTGCAACGGTTGCGGAAGGATATATCGAAGAGTCCATCAACAATAAAATAGAGATTGCGAAAAAGATTCAATGTGCTATGAGTATTCCAGAACGAGCCGTTGTAATGGCAGAGCCTATTTCAAACAGTTCAAGCGAGTATTTCATTTAAACAGCTTGTTATACAGTTGGCCAAAATCTTACCTCTTCAAGATATACTAAAATATGTACCTGTAAAAATTTGTCTTGTCCGGTTTTTTTAATCTTTAACGAGTTTAAACGTCTTTGAATTTATTGTAGCTCATTAATTTCTGATCTTTTTTTTTTTCTAATTTATTATAATCACCAGTAAGTCAGATTTTAAAGAAAAATGATTCTGGAAGATCTTCCGCAAGAAATTATTAACCAGGCAGAGACGAATACAACACAAATACTGCCAGAAAAGTCTCGTGGCGTATATGATGAGGGAATTCAAAGCGTTTGAAGGGTGGATGAAAGTAAAACATGTCAAAAAATGCAGGAGTGAACATGACAACGTTAAAAAGACACGGAGGATGGCGATCTGCAACTGTTGCAACTGCGGACAGATATATCGAAGAGTCCATCAACAATAAAATAGAGATTGCGAAAAAGATTCAATGTGCTGTGAGTATTCCAGAACGAGCCGTTGTAATGGCAGAGCCTATTTCAAACAGTTCAAGCAAGTATTTCATTTAAACAGCTTGTTATACAGTTGGCCAAAATCTTACCTCTTCAAGATACACTAAAATATGCACCTGTAAAAATTTGTCTTATCCGGTCTTTTTAATCTCTAACGAGTTTAAACGTCTTTGAATTTATTGTAGCTCATTAATTTCTGATCCTTTTTTTTCTAATTTATTATAATCATTTCCTTGTTCCAGGTAACAACCAACCAAAAAACAACCATCAAAAGGTAAGTCTTTTACACCCATACCGCTCTATAATTACCATAGATCTATACCGCCAAAGAAAAACAAAAATCAACCTGCACTAAATTTATTATTTCACGGTAATTTTCGAAAATAATAGGACAAAACAGAGAAAAAAATAAGCGCTCGCACGCCCACAGACGGGCTAGGAAAGGATATAACCCCCTCCTCAGATAAAAACCATTTTTTCTGTCAAAATGGTCGAGGCTTATGGGGTTTTACCACCGGTTTATGGGCGATTCCGGCCCAGTAAAACATGGCCAAAGTGACAATCGCCGCGGGCGTTAAGATAAAGCTGGAAAAGGTCGGGTCTGGATCGAATTGAGACCGTTTTGTGGGAGAACAGGGCCGTATTCAGTTTGATTTTGTTGTAAAATAGGGCAAATAAAGACTTAAATATTGTTTTAACCTTATTAACTTGACTCTTTAGCTTGATTTTTTTATATAGACCCTACTATAAATATAGACGATAAAACAATAATTTACCACAGGACACTAACATTGAAAGTAAAGTTGTTCTGTCTTTTTAATCGTCCAAGAAAATAGAAAAAAAACTTTTATGAGAATTTTTAGAAAACAGAAATTTTTGCAATAGTTTATAATTTTCAAAATACAATACAGGGTGTTTCAAAAAACATGTACCATTTCTCGTGAGGAGATTCCTCACGTTAAAATAAGATTTATTTTTTATTTTCATTATTTTAAAGTTACAGGATGATAAAACTTTTTAAAATTAGGATTTTGTAATTATTATCTTAAATACAATTATTTTTTTATTTGAATTTGCTGTAGGTTGGACTAATAGTAATAATAATTAATGCTAATAATATTTAAGAATAAATTGGGGATAAAATAAATAATGTATTAATTTTATTTTTATTTTATTAATTGTGATTAATACATGGTGTCCCAAAAAAAAGTGCAAGTATTTTAACTGGTAGTATAGTTCAACCCCAGAAACACGCCTATGAGGATTTTTTCGCGATTTTTTTTTTCAAAAAAAAAATAAAAAAAATAATTTCTTGATAATATGGCAACATAGATGGTAGATTAAATTTACAAAAAAGAAAATCCAGTGGTTCTCAAAATTTTAGCAAAAAAATCATTTTTTTTGGAAATTTTCAAAGTAAAAAACTCCGTTATTTTGGACCTATTTGAAAAACGATAAAGAGAAAAATATTCTTTTATCGAGATCTACCACCCCTTAAAATATTTGCACTTATTTCTGGGACAACCTGTATAATAAAAAAAAATAAAATTTTCTTACTTTTATCTATTAAAAAATCTTTTTTTTTAATAAAAAGTGAGACACAATTTTTTTACTTTTGTTTTGTTAATTAATTTTATATACTAATTCTTCTTAAATTCAACAAAACTAGAAAATATTTGAATACGGCTCTGTCCTCACTTCGTTTATTCGGGTTACCCACCGACTTGCACTTCTGGTTTGCATTTATCTCCTGCCTTTTTCTGTTTCTTCTGCACATCGCAGAACTTCTGCACGGTTTGTGTAGATGGCGCCATATACATCCGAATAGGGATTTGCATCTTTTTAGAACTTTTACTGTATAGTAAATAACAAATTAGGCTTTTATGCTTTTGATATTTCCTGTGATTTAGAGAGAATTTATAAATGTTTTATTTATTTTTATAATATGATCTCTTGGAGGAATTGGTTGATATTTAATGTTTTTTACTATACAATTTATTATTATAAAATAAAGACGTCATTTCTTGGCCTGTACTTCTTTTGATTTTTTAGTGATGCTTTAAGAAGGTTGTATTTTTTATAATTTAAAAAAAAAATTAAAAAGTCTAGTTTAAAATTATTAGAGAAAATATAATTTTTTGAAAATAGATTTGTGTGTCCGGAAACGTTCTATCCTTTTTTAATCATTCTATGACGCCTAGAGATTGTCCTCGTCAAAATTATCATCGATTCTCATTCCCCAGCCGTCTTTGACGCCGTTTTTTTTCATATCGGTATATTCGCTTGATAAATAAATGTTTTTTTTTCAGGTCATTTAAGCTGTCAGAATAAAATATTGTTGTATTAAGAATAAAAATGGGCATTTCATAAACGATTCTCTTTAGGATGATTTTATAAAAATTATCCTCAAAAACTTGAAGGAAGAATAAAAATGTCCCAAAAAAATTAAGAAGTGATAAGCGTATGCTGTTGAATTATGACAAAATTGCATATTTTTTAGAGGTGTATATTAAAAAATAAAAGTATTTTAGACGTAATTTTTTGAAATAATTAATTATATTATATTTATTTAAATATATATTTATTGTTAGAAATAAAAATATATAAATTTCTTTGTTGTAAAATTTCTGTATATTTTTAGGGCTTAATTTTGAAGTAGATAATCTATGTAGATATCTATACGTACCCAAACAGAGTATTTACTTTTATTCAAACACAAATACAGAAAAGATATAATAAAAATATAAAATTAGAGGAATATTTTACCAAAAATCAACTTATCGTCGAATTTTTATTTCTATCGATTGGTAATTACCTCGGTAATTACACTATGATGCAAAAAACACAACGGAATTTTTTTGTCAAGTTTAAAGTGTTACATATTTTTTAATTTTTGCCTTATTTTCATGATTATTTTAGCAAACTGTATATAAATATATCAACCTAAATTCTTATATTAAGTTTTTTATAAACTTAATATTTGCCTTATTCTACAGGGTTGTTTTTTTCTTAATATTAAAACACCCTGTGCAATCATTTTGTAAGCAATTTTTCATAAAACGTTATTTTTCGGTCATAACCATGTCTCCTGAGTATTTTGTTGCCACCTCTTCATATTGGCAAATAACATCAAAAAATAATTATTGAAAAAAATGCAATTAGTTGGTGACAAGTTCATTTCGCTCTTAAAAATTAACTAAGGCATGTATTGACATGATTCAAAAAACAAAATGCTCAGGAGACTTGGTTCTGACCAAAAAAATAACGTTTTGGAAAAATTTGCTCACGAAATTATCGCACAGGGTGTTCTAAAGTTAAAGTAAAAAACCACTCTTCGATTAACCCTGTATAATAAGCCAAATAGTAAAGTTTATAAACCAAACTGTTTTTATACAAATTAAAGCTGATAAAATTATATAGAGTATGGTAAAAAAATCATAAAAATAGAGTTAAAAATAAAAGAAATATTACAATTTATATTTGACGAAAAACAAATAATCGTTAATAGTTATAAGCGCAATTACAAAAAACAACAAAGAAATTAACAACTTTTTAGTTAATAAAGCTGACAAAAGGCATTATATTGCAGACATCCAGAAAGATCTGGATACTATTTCAGCCATAAATTATAATGTTCCGTTGCGTTTTTTGCTTCTGAGTGTGATTGAATGAATTTTCTTATGGTTAATTTTCCTAGATGTATCATTTTTTTGTTGAAAATCATTACAATTAACGAATTAAGAATATTAAATACCAATGAGAGTGAAACCGTTCGAGGCTCCCTCGATCCGCCGCTGTGCTCGCAGGCCAAGCGCTCCGGCAACAACAGGACCGCCAGCCTAGGCCGATCAACGTGGGCCGGGTCGGAGCGACCGCGTGGCATCCCTCGCTCCCATTGGTCCGCGCCGCACCTGCTCCGCCAGCGGCGCGGTGGAGGGGCGCGCCGTTACGCGCTCTCTAGTACCGCCGATACGGCATAGAGGGCCATCCGCCGCACATACATGGCTCATAAAGGATTCGAAGAAGTGGAGGAGAGCAGCCGAAATCAGTCGTCCGGCCGCCGATAGATCGTTAAAAGTCCGATCGCTCGCGCCGTTAATACCACATTACGCACACTCTTTTTTATCGTGTGTGTATAACTCTACGTCGTATTATCCGGACTAATGGTAGTAACCAGTGCGCGATCCCGCGGGGCTAGTGTTCGGAACGCGCGCCAGCGATGAGTTCCAAGTTCATAATTGATAGCATGCTCCCCAAGTACCACCAGCAGTTCCAACACCAGCACCTGTTCCAAACGTCGCCCGTCGTGAGCAGCGCCTCCATCGAGGCGAGTCTAGCGTCCGCGGTGAATTGCAGCTCCTCCGGATCGCCTACAGGTTCCTCGCCAGGCAGCGCCTCGTCCACCTCGCCTGCTTCCAGGATGTACCCCTACGTTTCTGCCGCTACCGCAGCAGCTCACCACCATCACCAACAACAGGCTGTAGCGGCTGCGGCTTTTGGAGCCGCAGCTGCCACGGGTTCCATGGTTCCCGGAGCCTTCCCCTCAAGCACCGCGGCTTTAGCCGCAGCTGTTGACGCAGCAACGACGGATAAATCCTGCAGGTACACAGCTGGACTAGGTGGCAACGTAGGTCCGACGGATTCGATGGTGAACTACACCCTCGGTCACCACCATCAAAACGGAGCCGCAGTTTCGGCAGCCAGCTCGGTGAGCGCTGCCTCAGCTTCAATGGCCGTCGCAGCTCAATTTTACCACCAGGCAGCCAGCGCGGTGGTGGATCCCCTCAATTCCTGCTCGCAGCCGACGGCTCCGGGTGGCCAGCCGATTCCCGACATACCACGGTATCCCTGGATGTCAATCACAGGTAATTATCATTGTTATTAACTGTTTTATCGAGCGATAAACGATAAAAATCGCATAAATAGGGTAATAACTATAAACGCGACACTATTTTTATTGATACGGAGTGTTTTATGACCTATTAAATATATAACTCATAATATGTATGCATATTATGTCCCAGTTTTATTAATTGATCTAAAGTTGTAAGGTATCGCAATTAAAACGGTACGCATGCGTTGGTATAGGTTAAGTCTAGCATGCTTCAAAGATGAGTTTTATGTCTCCGTAATACAAACAATTCGTTGAATTGATATGGTTTTTATTTACTGTTTCTTTTATTATCGTTTTTATTTTATTATTACTTTTTCTCAATTTTATAGTCCATTTTTATTAACTTGAAAATTATTCAATGTTCAAGTTATACGCATGCGTTGGTGTTTATAACTCTGACTTAAGTAAGTATATAAGCATAAACAAATTAAAGTAATTTTATTCTAATAATTACAATACTTTAATACATCTTCATCATATACGGTAATTAGGAACTTATTAATTAGACTGTGAATTAATTTAATCAAGAAATTAATGAATTACCTATCAAAAATTAAGCTAGAAAAGCAATTAAGAACGAATTTCATTAATACAAAGGATTCAATGAATGAATTTGAATAAAAACAATAGGCGTTGTGAATGTGTAATTACAATTTGTACAATTAATTTAGATTGTTGTCGTGTTATTGTATGCTTTTGATAATTATTAATGAGTTTTTTTGGTTTTATACGAATAAATTACAATATAATTTCAGGTTTTCTTGATTTTACTCCAAAGAGATATTGATCTAACTTCAATAATACGCATGTGCCTACTTTATAAGTTATTCAATCTATTCCCAGTTAAGGTGTAGCCCCTCTCACATATTTAAGTAGGTACTTCCTTTGTAGTTGGACCTATTGTTGGGTAGGCTTTGCTAACTTCCTAATATCATGGTCCCATCTCAGGGTTTGGTCTTCCACTAGGTCTCTTAATTCATCGTGGATACCATGCTATATTTTTTTTGTGTCCATCCTTCTTACCATGTATCTTGCCCATTGCTACTTGAAGGATTTGATTCTCTGGATGACACCTATTACCTGTGTTTTTTGTCGTATCCACTCTATTCTTTTACGGTCTTTTTTTTTGTTATTCCGGTTAAGTGATTATAACTAAAAAAAAAATAAAAAATGTGAAATAACTATTAAATTTTTATCACTTCTGTATTCATTTTCAATATTTACATCTTTATCCTAGATTACATGCAGAGAAAGCTTTCACACAAGAAGAGTGGATGTTGAAAGTCACGTTTTAGTAAGAAATAATTATACTAGCATTATTTTGTATAAAAATTTACTTTTCCACTCAATTTAATAATTGCTTGATACTCTCGTAATTCAGAAATTACCTAACTTCCTCCGAAAAAATTCAAAACAAAATAAATATTAATATAATATAAAAAATAAAATATTATAATCTGAAAACATGAACAAATAATCCAAATTAACAAACATTGATTCACTAGATGATTTTTAATTAATTTTTTGCTTAACTTTTTACTATAATGGTTACAGAGAAGATTTCTGCAAGCTTTACTACTGCTCAATAAAACCAATAAGCGCATGCGCGGCTGCCATCAGACATGACCGCTTTATCGTTCAGATAGTTTTTTATGGTCGTTAATTTATTTAAACAGTCTATTTTAGCAATAACAAGCGCGTAATATCATTTTATTGCCGGATTTTAGATTTAGTTAACGAGATCGTTAAACAAATTGTCAATTATTTTTATTTTTGGTCTAGAGACATTAGAATTAATAGTTTTTGTTTGTATAATTCTTAAACTATAAAAAAATTAACAGCAAAATGAATAACAAGTAACAATCTAATGATTTAGATTTTAGATAATGAAAAATATAATTGTTTCCATAGAAACTGTTAAAATTGCCTTATATCTATCAAAAATAGTAGATAAAATAGTACTTTAACCGCAAGGGCAGATTAAATGATACTTTAACAGGGAGGATAGGTTAATAACTTTATTTATTATTTTAATTGCCTCCATTTTTGAAATTTTTTGTATTTCTTTTCATAAGTTATTCGGGATTTAAATGGAAGTAGTTTGGATATGGCGTTTGTCGCCTCAGCCTGAATATCTGTTGGTAATTTACTTATTTCGTTTTGAGCCATTTCTGGCTCCAATTCAATCAGCAATCGATACGAGAGAGAATTAAAAAATATTGACTCAAAACTGACAACTAAAGAGACAGCTTTATTTATTTGTCAAATTACATAGAAACCAACGCCAACCCAGCACAATATTTTTTTCTACTCGTAATAAATTCCTTGAAATAATAATTTCTGAATATTTTTTAAAACGTAACTCGCTATGGAAAAAAATATTGTTTTATACACGACGATAAAATTGCATTATCGTCTCCCGAAATTAATTCACTCGCGATTTCATCCCTCGTCAATTAATCTTTTCCATCGACAATATCATTTTATCGTCTTGTATAAAAAATAACTATTAAAAACAAAATCTAATTATTTTAATACGAACATTTAATTTTAAATTTTAAAGTATTTTTTCTTATATTCCTATCAACATTCTGTCAATATATTTAATGGTTCTAGACAAAACTAATCAGTGATTTGTTTTTGAAGGAAAACGAAACTGTCACTCGATACCAAATGATTTATTGATAACCTTTTAACAGAACTTTTTCTCTTATATTGCTGGGTAAATAAATTAAAATTGATAATAATTATATCTCGGAAAAGAATACAACAGTAAAATAATTCTTATTGAACGCTTTTAATGAAATTTTTATTGCTAACCAGCACAAAAGAATACCGCTTTTACTTATCAAAAGTTCTTAATTGGCATTAAAATGGATTTTTATATTAATTAGGTTGAGATTTCTTAAAATTCCCAGTAAATTATTATTATTGTTGAAGAAATGAACAATATTATTACATTGTATGTTTCCTTAATTTTAATAATTAAGTTATATTATTTTTTGTGAAAGCGTTTGGAAATTGACAGTTTTTGATATTGATTTGAGATTCGAAATGACATTTTTTTAGGCACTAGTATCTAACAGTGACACTTATTTAGGCACTAGTGCCTAAAAGTAAAAAAATGAAACATTAGAAACAATGAAAATATTTATTTATTAATCAATCAATCTTCATCAGAGGCATTCAATTTTTCGTGTCTAAGAGAAAGGCAAGTTGTAGGAGTCGGTATAAGTAAATTTTTTGTACTGGCAATGCTGGTAGCTTTTTTTTTTTTTTTTTTTTGAGGTGTAAAATACCTTTACGTACGGAGTGTGGGACTCAATCTCCTTAAGCTGCCTGGACGCTACCCACTAAACGTCACCCCCTTGCTCCTGCCACGTCTACCTGGACCCGCTGGACGAATCTCCTCAAGTAGCGCCGGACTGTTCCTTTTTTGTCATTATCCCTGCTCTTCGCTGTATTTTGCCTCTAGTATATTTTGGGCCAGTTTTGAGATGGCTTCAAAGTTTTCTCTTCTTTCTGTTACCGATTTTAAGAAGGTATCTGCGGAGATGTTGCCACCAATCGCCATGCGTGCCTCACATCTTTCCTGTTCCCATCTCGGACAAGCCAACATTGTGTGTTCTGGAGTATCATTGGGTTCAGCACAGTATCGGCATTCCGCGACTTCCCTCTTTCCAATTTTACACAGGTAACTCCCAAAATTTCGGTGGCCGCTCAATATTTGAATAAGATAGAAGTTTACCTCTCCATGCTTTCTTTTAATCCACATATTTATATTTGGGATGAGCTTATATGTCCATCTTCCTTTTTGTGATACTTCCCATTCTGCCTGCCACTGCTGCACTGTGCGGTTTCTCTCCATCTCTCTGCTTGCCCTGGATTGTACTTCACCCTTGAGAAAGAGTCGTTCTCTTTCTCTTGAAAGAAGATGTAAGGGCACCAGACCCGATATCACTAAGGCTGCCTCAGTTGAAGTTGTCCGATACGCCGAGCAGACCATCAAAGCCACGACTCTCTGTGCACCTTCAAGTCTTTTTTTATTTACGTGCATATTGGTTGCTTCGTTCCACACAGGTGCTCCATACATAATAATATTCTGGCACGCATATGCTAACACTCTTCTCTTTGCTGGTGTTGGGCCCCGAACGTTTGGCAGTATTGCGGGCAACGCTTTAGCAGTTCGTTGTGATTTCAGACACACCTCCTTGATGTGCAGGCCCATCGTGAGTGCACGGTATATGTGGAATCCAAGATAGTTGACTTGCTTTACTGGATTTATTATTATATCCTTAAAATTAAACCTTATATGGTCAACTTTTCTCTTGCGGCTCAGTAAAATCGCCTCTGTTTTTTCCATAGCTATTTCGAGTCTGTGCTCACGCATCCATCTGGCTATGATCTTTAGTGTATCATCCACAGTCTGCATTAGGTCCAGGTCGCTGGTAACTTCTGCTTCTACGTGAACTGCTTTTAATTTCTTATTTGGCGTATATCTTTCTGTTCCATGATTCTTTTTGCTATTTCGGTTTTCTGTTCAATTGAATTTTCAATGTAACCTTCAGCAACCGAGCTTGATCGCCTACTTCCATGTCGCTTTAAAACTGTTTTGTCCGCGCCTGAATCTGCCAGCATTGTTGCATAGAGCTGCACCGGAAAGAATGACCAGTGTATTCAATGACATTGGGGAGTCCAAGAAATTCCGCCATCTTTTTTGGCGTACCCCCAATTGTATTGATTCCAACTGGCAAGGTACTGCATTGATTTTTTCAATACGTCTAGAAAAATCGCTGATGTGTCACATTGAGTGGTCGAAGTTTTGCGTACTTACCAAATACATGTAAGAAATTGATACCATCTATTGGTCCCTCAGTAATCGTAAACACTCTTGGAAAATGAGTTTTTGTATTCGGAATCTTCACACTAATAAATGACTGACAATCTTTGATGACATCTACGGTCAAAAAC